CACCGCCAACTCTTGGGCTACTCTTTTACCAACAAATAGTGGGATTGACCGTGACTTAATAACGCCCCACGGCTGAGAGAGCGAGTATATTTGGTGGGACGGGGATTCAAACCCGCGACCCTAAGATTGCAAGTAAAGCGCCCTAACCACCTGGCCATGCTGGACCTCATATTCAAGAAATCTGGATCTTTGCTCCTATTGGTTCCAGCTACAATTAAATGAATATATATCTATAGCTGTCGTGAAAAAATAATCCAAAAATACAATAAATGCACGAGCATTTATCGAACACTCTCGAAAACTCTCACACTTTAGTAGCGATTAGTTTTTAATTAAATATTACCTCTGGTTAGACTTCTCAACTGGTTAAGGTGAGAATGCTTAAACTTTGAGGACCATCTTGTTGTGGATGGAAAGATCGAGAAAAAAAATCGATGGTTCATGCACGCATGGAGCTTGAACAATGAACTAATCACCTGACAAAACGAAAAAAAAAATCATTGTGAAAAACCTCTTTGAAACAGCCGGGAGCAAGGTAGCGTCCTCTCACGCAACGTCATTCTGATCTTTGAAGCGTGTTCCAGAACGTTTTATGTTTTCCACCAACGGAAAGAAAAGACGCGATAACGTGTTTACATTTATTGAAACATTTGACAGCAAAATTCACTCAACCGGCGCACCAGATAGCTCAAACAAATCACTCAACAGTGTTTGTATTATAAGTTCGTACAGAAATACAAAGGTACACACACACTGATGAGTATCATAAAAATGAAGGAGAGAAAAAAACACCGATTTAGGGTCTAAGTTACACCAGGCTTCTCATTTATTCCTGCAGTTTCTATATTTTTAACTCCAAACATGTTCCCACGTTTTTTAACCTTCAGGAAGTAAGATAGGTGGGAAACTATCGGAATGGTCTCGTTCGTTAGAAATACAAAATCAAATACATTAACACACACCTTAGTCGAGGTAAATAAAGTGCAAAACAAAAATAATTCATTTATCACCATGTCAAATAAACAGAGTAACTGTAGTTATCTACAAATGATACGTGGATCGGTTTCATAGTCGGGTCTTTCACTACTTTCCCTAATGCTCCACTTTCTCACTAGTGATTACACTGAGCCGTAGGAAGTGGTAAGGCCATGTTATGGCCTTACAACTTTTTCATGGGATGTATAGCTACAATTTATGTATTAAAACTTGCTTCTTTTAAT